AAGTTGAGCGTTTTTTGGAGGCAAACGAGATTTAACGCGTCTAAGGAACAAAAAATCTTTTAAAATGAAACTTTTGAAATGCCAACAGTATCAACAAGGTCTCTTATTGTTAATCGACGGTTGTCGAGCACAAGATATTTGATTAACGTATAACGTGTTGTTGACGTTGATGGTCGTCCGAGATGCTGTTCGTTCTTAACGCTTTCTCTGCCTTCTTTAAAGTCATTGTACCACTTGTAAACATTTTTTTGCGACATAACCTCATCACTAAACGCCTTCTGTAACGTCCTCAACGTTTCCGCGGCAGAACATTCATTCCGCAAGCAAAATTTAATGCAACAAAATCAGCGATATAGTCGCGTCGCTATTTGAACATTGATGAATTGACGTCCGCTATTTTATTGTTGAAATGTGCAAGGGAAGGCAGTAGAAAAGGTGTCGCATCTCGTGAGTCAATTTTTTTCATTAGCAACATTGTTTTTTTTTTAATAATTTGGGTCGAAAATCGTTTTTCCAATGTATTGGAAGAACTATTGATTTTAGAGAAAAGTGTTCAACCGACGAAATATGCGCAATAAAAAGACATACAAAATGCCGCCTGATAGATTAAAATTGGATAAATTGTTTAAAAAGTTATTGCAAAAAATTATTGGGCCACTGAGCAATAAATCTCAGCCGTTGACAAGTAGTCGACAAATTGCCCAGCAGTGCAGTGCAGCAATGCGGAATTTGGTGTGATTCAGGTAATTTTAATTTATTATAGGCACCTTCTATTAATCATTGTTATTACAATTGCCAAAGGGAGAAACAATATTATTACAACATGGCATTTTGGAGAACTTTTGAAACGGAACAAAAAGAAATTTACCATCAATATAATAAAATTGTTTGAGGGCAATAATTAAAATATGTTGTTGACCAAATGAACATACAGGGTGTCCCAAAATTAGGGGGCAATATTTCTACGGGGTGTTTCTATGTCGATTACTTTTTGTTTAAATAAACATCCAAAAATTCTTCCTAAGGAAGTTATAGCCACTTAAAGGGACCACTCTGATGATGTTTTTTTCTAAATAACTCCGAAACCACTTGAAATAAATTTATAAAATTTGGTAACTAGCTTAACTCTTATGTGCTCAGTCCGCCACTAAAGGGAAATTTACAAATTTTCATCACATACGTTCCAACACTGGGGGGAGGGGGGTAAAATTTACCATAACTTTTTTATGCGTTGACTTTTTTAACTTTTGACTCAAAAGTATGAAATTTCATAGTTTTTTATTAAAAAAAGGTACTTTTGGTTCATAATGGCAAAATGTTCCATTTTTGTGTAAAATCTGTTTAAAAATAATGTTACATGTGTTAATCACCTGAAATCGAAATTTTCAATATTTTTTATCATCACAAGTTTTGAATAACAAACATGCGTTTGGCGTCATTTGCATTGACAGTTCAGTTATTTACTCTTTGCGAAGTGTTATCAGTCGAAAATGCAATATTTTACCAATGTAGAGCTGGCAGATATTCACAATACCCATTTCCGGTCAGACGAAAATCCACGTGCAATACGGCGCACAAATTTTCAAAATAGATTTGCAATAAATATGTGGACATAAATTTTAGGGGACCAGCTACTTAGACCAATTCGGTTTCCAGTTGTATGAATGCAGAATCATAATTAAACTTACTGCAAAATGATGTAAGAGAACTATTGGATGATACACCGTTAAACGTACCTACGCTTAACATATCCACTATCAACAAGATATCAATTTTATAAATTTATTTCAAGTGGTTTCGGAGTTATTTAGAAAAAACTATAACTTCCTTAGGAATAATTTTTGGACACGTTTATATAAAGAAAAAGTAATCTTTTTCCCCGTAGAAATATTGCCACCTAATTTCGGGACACCCTGTATAAGCGAAATTTTCTGCACATTATATACAAATTATTATAATTTTTTACCTTTATCAGAAAATTTTTTTAGGGACGCCTATGAAACTCATTCTATCTAATATTTGTTACCTGCAGTAAATTTTAAAATGAAAAATTTGAGTAAAAAAAAATATATCAGTATCAAAGACAACCCATCTCGGTAAGTATTAACTTTTTCTTCCGTCATATTTCTTTGAAGTCAATATTTCAGCAAGTTAGTTTATAAATAAATGTCGCTTACGAAATTACCACAATCGAGACAAACTACAAACCCCTGGGTCTTATTTCATTGTCAACCTATTTATAAAGGAATTCCAAGTTGATGACAGGAATATTAACTCTAAAGTTAGATCCCGCTTAAGAATAGAACCCGGCGTGGAATTTCAGTTCATTTCTGAAATAATTCCGTTTCACTGTCAAGCGCATTTAAAAATACCCACTTTTGATTCATTCACTTTATCGTTTCCAGTCGCCGAACTATTTCGAAACACCCTGTATTACACGAACGTGCGAGCTCGTATTGAACTTTGGAATTGACACAAAAACAAACTTCTTATCACTGTAATAATTAGTCGGAAGAAAACTACTTGTACCTATTGCTTACATCCGTATCAGTACTGCACTTCTATCATATAGTGAACTTTGTATCGCTCATGTCTACTTCTTATATCTATATTACTTCGATAGTTACGCTATCGTGCCATAGTCTATTTCCTGGTCTGGTAAATATATCAACGAATTAATATTTCAAACTGGGGAGGAAATATAGTCGAAGATTTAGGTCTTTAAAGGAATTTAAAAAAAAATTAATAGAAGTCCGTAATATGATTTTATAAATGTATTTTACTTCGTAAATTCATAGGACTCATACTTGAGACCTCAGTTAATCAGCATTCAGAATAGCTGTGATTATATGAGACGCCACGTAAACAAAACAAGGCTATAGTTTACAGAAAATCCCTAGATATCATATAAAATTCCCTAATTTCACATATTTGTAGTGTTTTTCCCTAGAACTAGGGAAAAAACCAAATCTGACAACACTGCCTGACAGAGAGTGACCTACTAATATGTAGGTATTATGAGAGGTGATTCTAACAAACAAGTTAATAATATTTATCTGCTCCCACTATAGTAAATAGACTATTAATACTTTGTTTTTATGGAGGTAAGTGGATTTTACCGTAGAAGTGGAAGTTGCTATGGACAACGGGAGGTAAGTGAGGTAACTTACCTCCCTAGGGAAAAAAGCGATTTCGAGTTATAAATGCATATTTTATGTACAAATAAATAGAAATATTTTATGAACATTACATTTTGTTAATTATTATGAATGAATATTTATAATAATTGTACGATTATTTAGTAACATTTATAAAATCTGAATAATTATTCCCCTCGCGTTTACCAATTGTCACATTTTTCTCAAAATTAGTTGACCGCTCGATTTCAGTCACCGGATGCTCAATATTATCTGACTGATCCATTAAAACAGCATGATGTGCCGTACTAGAACCTGGAGTTGAAGTGTCATTGTAAAAAATCCTGTTGGCTATTTCATTTTTGTTACTTAAACCGTCAGTAACATAACTTTCTGTGGCTGATTTCCACCCACCATGTCTCTTGATTGCTAATACATCAACTCCTGTATTAGCCAGTAACGTTGCCGATGTTCTTCGGAATGAATGGCCTGTAAATGTTTCAGGATGTTCTAGTTTCAAAAACTGTGCAATCTTATTAGGAATCATAGAAAGGGTATTCTTACCTACTGGTTGGTTGTATAATCTACCTGCTTGATAGCGCATAACATAGTGTGAAATTTCAGTTTTAATTTCCAATCTAATCTTGATATATTTCTTGAGAATTTCTAGGTGAGGAACAGAACCCAGACGAGAATTGTAAACGTATGTGACATACCATTTGTAGAATCTGGAATTGTAACTACAATAATTTTTTTAATTGACGTCCAAAGTTTGCATAACTCATCAGAACGGCATGCTCCTGCAATGCCTAAGACCGTCACTACCTTCAATAGCAAATATGTGTTATCGAGTGCCTGCACGAGAAAATAGTTGATTTAATTTGTTCTCTTGTAAAAACGTTTGACTTTTTAGGTGTATAGACGTCACTTTTACGTTTCAAAAATGCTCTCAGCTTGGGGTATTTTGATATATCCACGTTCTCCTCTGTGAAAATAGTTGACTCGGTGACTTTAAGTTCTTGACTTCTCCATGAAATACGCTAGCAGTGACATTTCAGAAACACCAGTAGTTTTGTTCCGGTATCATTCTTTGAAATTTCTATATGCTCGTCTGTAGCGCACTTTCTATTTGAAAATCACTCATTTAGAAATAATAATTCAAAACCAGCAAAATTGCAACTTTTATGTAGGTTTGTTTATAAACTACTTAGAAACGACAACATCCAAACTAGTGCTGGCAAAAACCGGAAAAAAGTGAAACCGGTTAACCGGGTTCCGTAAAAACCGATTTCAGATAAAACCGGTTATTCGAATAACCCGTTACTTGAATCGCCAAAACAGGATACCTGAAAATCGATGCTTTACAAAGACAGACCCGGAGAAATTGTCTAAGGTCAATTACAATCGGACAAATCGATGTCTAAAAAAAAAAAAAAGGAAGTAGATTATCGAATAATCGGTTATTTGAATAATCGGATATTTGAAGATTCGAATAACCAAATAACCGGTTTTCGGATATTTGAAGAATCGAATAACCGGTTTTCGGATTTCATAAAAATCCGAATTATCCGAAACCGGTTAACCGACTATCCAAAAAACCGGTTTCAGTTGCCAGCACTAATCCAAACAAGGCGACATTTTGTTGCTTCAAATTCTAAAAAAATCGTACTAGTTCTCAAAACTGCTACAATGTATGAATATTTCAATTTCCATGATACATTGTTAATTTATTTTTTTGGACTTTGTACTATATTTTAATATGTTAAATATTATATAAGTATTTTAATATGTTAATTACGTTAAATATTAAACACTGATAAACCAGAACAAAATGATTAAACTTTGTAGATGGTACTACAATACCTTTTGAGTTGAAAAAGGAAGAAAAATGCACTCTTCATTGTCGACACACTCATTCACCCACAATTATTGTTACAATTTTGAGAGAACAGTGTACAACTTGATGATTTAAAATACGTTTTTATCGAAGAAGAAGGAGATAAGAGTTAAAAAAATCCAACCACAATAGGTTTCGAATACGTCCCGACCAAAGATCAGGGATCAAAGCTTAAAAATGTTGTGACAGAGTTGTTTCACTTTTACACCGAAATCGAAAAACAAAACTTAACATTAGTTAGTTGTACGGATAATAGTTTCCATTATTTTCCGTAATGGCAACTTCATTATTATTATTATAAGATTACTTACTTCTAAAATTTTAAAGTTTTTAGTGAGTTTGTAAAAAAATATTATTCCTAACTTGTCCTATTGTCCATTGTCCCTCTTAAATAAATTTTTAAAACTCACCATAAGGAGCAAGGTATGTATATTACAATCTATTTAAAAAAAAGCGCTCACTCCACAAAATTCACGTGGCGCGAAGGCCATGATCGTTTACCACCGCCCATTTCTAGCCTACAAATTTCACTGTCAATTACTGCTTGTTTACTATATCCACATGGCTGTTTCAACCTCAATAAACATCTGGCAAAACGCGGCTGGACAGTTGTGAATTAAAACTGACAGCAATTCTATTAATTTAATTGCACTATTGGACTCATTCCTATAGGTATCCGTTTGTTAAACCAGTGGCTAATCCACAGCCAACGGATTTTTAAAGTTACCTCGCCAGCTTTCCAAGGTCGGGTTAGCCTTGAATTTGCCGTTCTTGATGGTTACAGGTAAAAAAAGTGAATGATATCGTTTACATTCAACTTGTTTTCCAAGGCCCACTCCATTTTCGGGTGTCAAGTATCTTAAATACCTACTAAAGATTTCCTGCTGCTAAATTTGACATGTTTAACGTATGACTCATGAGTTAGATGATGAGCCTCCGTATGAGCTGGAAGAGGTGAATGAATGAAAGAAGCAATAACGCCATATTACGAGGACCCGCACAAATTGAGGAAAACGGGTCATCCGTGTCAGGGTCGACTCTAATAGCATGGAACAAACACTCGACGAAACCGTGGATATTATTTTCTCGGGTGAAGTGAATATGTGGAAAGCCTCTCCTGAAAAAATAACGACGTCCTTGTCTAAACAGGAGAAAGTAAATAAATAATACCTCGATCGCTCCACATATAAACACACAAGAACAGCAAGGTCACTTTGGCTTATATTAACTACTTTTCCTAGTTTTTTTTACAAAAAAATATGATATAAAAAAAAGTTGGAACTATATCTTTTATGTACATTAAGTCCATCTAAAAGTTATTGAGTTGGACATCGAAGAAATGGCGATCGAAATTTTCGATCTAAGTACTTATATCAATTTTATCAATTATTTGTATCTACTGAATATGTAGAATCTTTACAATTTTGTTCTTGACTTCTTGGAGAAATGAAATTAATATTTCTTCTGCCATGAAAGGCAGACATCGACTTGAAATTACCAGCCGCTGACGCTGCAGACTTTTCAGCCTCAATAATTTTCAAAAAGTAAATCTCTCCTAATTGGACAACGGAGAAATCTCCCATAAATTTAAGTATCGCCGAAGCTAATAGGTGAGTCAAACGACGTAGAAAGCTGTCTCATTCCAAGGAAGAGCAGTCAGCTGGCGTCAAGTTTAATAAAGGAGGTTTTCCTTGATAGGTTGATAAGTACTTCCCAAGCGGGCAAAATAATACCCCACCCATGAACCTTGATCTTCGGACGGAACACCTCACAGAAGTCGGATAAAAATTCCCAACAAGGACGAAAGTTATCATTTATTTCATTTATGATTAATACTTATACCTGCATCAAAAGTTTACGGTGACATATGCATAAAATATGCATAGACAAAATAGAGACACCTTGAAAACTTATATTCTGATTATACTTCAATGGCGTAAGTTATTATTAACGCTTTCTACAACGATTGTCGTTATATTCAAACTGTTGTTTAAACAGTGTATTGCAAAAAGGATACCTAGAGACGCAACACAGTTTGAGGTTAAAGCTAGTGAAGTCTTTTAGTTTAACTGATCTGAATATCTAGATCATGTAACGGGAAAGCTCACTGTGGTCTAAAATCAACGTTGCCAGATTTTTTGTCGGGCAAAGCGGGATTTTGAAACTTTTTGAACAAAAAAGCGGGATTCTTTCGTCCAAAAACGGAACATGCTATTGATTTTCTTTCTTTAATACGAACTTCTGATAGTGCCCGAAAAGAAAATTCCGAGTAATACTTTGTTTACTGCAATATCGATACCGAATATATTATAATCCCGACTTGACTCAAAGTTCTTGAAATCCAATGAAATCAACAGTGAGAATTGAGAAAGAATTCGTGACCAAGGTTACAAAACCAGTCAGCCATACGGCAATGCAATGTAAATAAAAAAAAAGTACACAATATTTTCCGAACGTTTACAAAAATGTAAATATAATTAAACGATGAAACCGAAATGCCAAGGTACTTGCAACTGCATTGGGCTGTTGCTCTTTATAGTAAGAAACAAAATGCAGACAGAATGTCCTTTGTTCTGCACTTCCTAAACAAAAATATTCGTCCATAACTTACGTGTGATGAAATAAACAACTTCTATTATCATTAATTTAAAATCGAAAAATTAAGTTCAGTTTTAGTACTCTTGAAACAATAGGTATGACTCTATAAATAAAAATGGGTACAATTTTTTAAAGCGTTTCTTTTGCTTTGAAAACACAAACGATGCCAATAACCTTAGATTTAAGCGACCATTTAGATTAAAATATTGTACAGTAATTTAAATAATATGCAAAACATCTACCAGTTAAAACATCACAATCCAGCTAATACTGTTAAATCTACGTAGAAAATTGTATTTAAAAAAATACCAAGCAGTTAAAAATACGTAAGTACAAAAACACATATGTATATGTTTTAAATGTGCCAAATAAGAACACCTATTATTATTTCTAAAGTTTTACTGTTTAATTTTAATTTGTATTAAGTAGTACAAATACAGCTAATCTGTAATAGTCGCGGATTCAAATAAGGCGTAAAAATCAAAACAGACCGCTGCTGCTCTTACCTTGGGAATAATTTATAATGAAACCGTAAATCAAGATAATTTAGAACATATTAGCTTAAACTATGTCAACCTTTGGACTTTGCACTACTAAAATAATACTCTAAATTAAGAATTTCCTCTCTTAAGTTTCAAACAGTGATAATGATCGTAAGTACATGCATATGGGGGATGGTGAAGGTCCGATTTGAGCAGACGGAGCCCACATAATCCAAAAAATAACGTTTTACAGCTTTAGTAAACTACAGGACAATATGCCCCTACAATTAAGTCGGAATTAAAGCCTAGATAGGAACAACAGTAAAAATATTAATGTATAAGTACACTAAAAATATGTTGCTTTTTATGAAATCTCCAAAGACCAGAAGGTCAAAACATATTTTGTATTTTCCAAATTCATAAAATACAGAAATGATTGACTGGAAGATCAGTTTTATTAAAGGGATGGCCCCATCATACCATACCGGCAATCAAATTTGAGGTTATGCCGGTGGTGTGGCCTTTATCTTTCCTCTCGCACCCAGCCATGATATTACTCATTACTCAATGCCATTACTAATCAGAGATATCTAAATTAATAAGCCATAAAACACATTTTAATTTTTAATATAAAAATTTAATGTGTACACCACAAACAAATCAAAGCATTAACTGTGCATTGTTCCAGTCTGATAAAATGGCAATGTAGAACTACATTCTTTTCTTATTCCATTTACGAAAACATTTAAAAGTTACTTCAACAGTACTTTTGCAACCCAATATGCAGTGGAACTAGGTCGTATATCTATTTTTCAAATATCCAGTACGTTCTTATCAGATAACGGTCGCGTAAAGGTAAGTAACTTTCCAGTAAATATTTTCGATACAGAGACGACTCCTTCGGAAAAAAACATGAATTACAAAAACAGTTATTATCTGAGTTAAAAATAAATATGGGTTTATGTGATAAAAAAACTATAAAACCAGGAATGGATTTACAAAATGTGGAAATGACATTTCCTGAGAACATAACCTATCTCAACAGGAATGTCAAAGTCAAACCGAGATGAATTATAATTTTGCCGGTTCGATTAAACAATCTAAATGTAAACAAATTTGCGATTCTTATACAACAAACTATCTAGTTCATGTTAAAAGATTCAATAATCTTCGAGTTTAAACGGAACATACAACAAAAATGATAAATGTGATCAGTAACTCACCGAAATGATTAGTTATCCGGCCAAATAAGTCTTGAACTCTACTCCTTATCAATTATTTTGATAATTTATCATAAATTCACTGACACATGCACGGTTTTATCTCGTATTCTTATAAGAAGTCAACAACTACGCGCATTTCGCGTGGATAAAATCTACCGTATTTTTGGACAACTTGCTCCCGGCCAATGAAAATCTCACTTCATTGGGAGGGATAGTGGCGTGATATTTTACGTCACATGTGCACATAGGACCAGATCAATATTTTTGAAAAAAATGTTTTTATATATTAAGAAAATGCCATTATTCATTTACCTCGGCAAGAATGTTTTTACAAATCGATACTGAATAAGTAATTTGGATTTTTGATTTAATGTCATTATAAAATAGCAAATAAGCTAACACAGAGTGCAGCACAATGTAGTGCAGATCACAATTGTTACAGGGTTCTATTCCATGGGTTCGAGACAATTCATTTATTATTAAAATTCAGTGGACTGTTTTTGTTGTTTTTTTTTTTATTCTGTGGTCTAGGTGGTTAAAAAGTAGGGTTATATATTGAAGATTGTGACCTGTCAAGCATACTTTAACTTAATTTGTTTTTAAAATGGGGTCTCTTACAAATGAGGATAAGAAATTATTCGAAAATTCTATCAGTTACCTACATAATATTTCTGGTCTAAACTGTAATCCGGCAGCTACTCCAGCTTTAAAATGTCTGCATTTGTAAGTATTCCGAACTCTTGTAGGAATATTAATTCCATAATTCTAATTGCAGGACAAAAGCAAGATTGATGGAATTACGAAGACATATACGTGTACCCAGTAGGACAACTACTGCAACTAATTGCGTCAGATGTTTCCTGAGTATAGATGATGGTCCTGCAAGCTTTAGAATTAAGGCTGAAGAAAAGAAGAGTAGATTTGCTAGAAGAATATTGTCAAAAAAGCAGAAAGATAAGCCAATGACTAAATTCCAAAGGAAATATTTGAAACGATTGCGTCAATTTAATGGAAATCAACTGGTAAATGTACATAAAAATGTATTGAAATGATTTCTACCTAGATTGTTTTATAGGTGGTTTCTTGTAAATTTTGCAAGAAGGAATATTTTGTTAATATGGATAAGCCGAAGAACCTAATTCATACTAAACGCATCAAAACGTCTCAAAGAAAGAAGAATAAAAAGAAAGACATATTTTGTGGTCTTAATGAAGACGTAGTTCTGTCACTCACACCGGAGTATGTCGAAGATCTCGATACATCAGATTTTATTCCTCTAGAAGGGAATAGGAAATTGTCAAGAATTAAATTGAGTAAAAAGAGAAAACTTCAAGAACCTATTGAAGAAGTTGTAACTAAAGAAAGTATTAGACAGAATCAAAATAAAGTTAAAGCAAAGAATAAACTTAAGGAATTCTTGAATACTTCTGGTTCAAGTAAGTCGAGCCCTTCAGCTAATTTGAAACATTTTTTGAAAAGCTTGTAAAAATAACCGGATAAAAGACAATAAAAAGGCTGTTCAGTAGACTGTTTTTAATTTTTCAAAAAGGTTTATTAAATACTATAACAATGTATATTCTTTTATAATAAAACACATAAATATGACAATCACACAAATTCGTCAATGGAAAATTGATACTTTGGATATTCCTTCACTCGAGAGGTATCTGCTCTATAACGATCTGAAACAAAAACAAAAAGTTAAGTATTTGTGCCGCTTCGATGGAGACCGGGAGCTGTTACTATATAGAGTTCCAGTTTTATTATAAAAATGGTTAACAGTTTCAGGAAGCTTTTGGAATCGTCCATGTGTAGCGTGTCGATATATGGATTTCATTTGAATGGTATCTTCGTATAAATGTTTCCTTATTCTTACTTAGACCAGGAAATATAGGGGTAGAAGATGTTTTTTTATGCTCTTTTAGTACATGTAATAAAATACTAAAAAAATTTATAAATTAAGGACATATTTAATTTTGCAGCTAAGGAAATTTTTTAAATAATTTCCCTTCGCTATAAAAATGCACTTTTTTGAGAAAAAAACAACAGAACTCGATAGCTTTTTGTTAAATCTACCAATAAAAAAGAGATAGCCTTATAAGGCTATAACTCGCGAAATAATCCACCTACGGATTCTGGCTTTCGCATAAATTATTTGTCTGCAGTGAGGAATGATTGAGTGTTATCCGAAGAAGCCTCTGTGATAACATTGCGATTTATTATTGTTTATTTAAAATATGGCATAATTGTCGGTTTTTTGTAAATAACTTTTGACCAGATTGATATTTTTTGACGCTCAAGACGTCGTTTTGTAGATCCTATAAAGACGAAAAAAAACTATTTTACCATTTCTCTGTAGAACCAGAACCGTCAGAAAAAAAGTTACAGTTGAAAAACGCAAATTTCTAATGTTTGATCTACTTTTAAACAATGTCGCCTGAGCCTTTTTCAGCGTGCAGATACGGTGCATATTATTCTACACTATTTTTCTCTCTATCTGCTATCTCAAAGAATCGGCCTGACTGAAGAATTATGTATGAATTGGTCTATACTATGTAAGTGTGCAAAGTTTTCAGCACATTTTGTAAACGTGATATAAAATTTAATAAGTTTCGTAGCTAATTAAAGTATGTATTGTAATAAAATCCGCAAGTTAAATATTTTATAGAAATAATAAATATCTGTAAATATACAGGGTGATTCACAAACGGTGACTAAAAATGAAACCTCGTATTCTTTGGTGAATTTTAAGGGGAGGGGAGTTTTTCCTATAAAGTTTTTATCTAGGACGCTTTGTTAAAAAGATACAGTGTTAACGTTAAAAAATAATTTTAATTTTTTTAATAGTTTAAAAACAAGTTTTTAAATTATTACAATTACATTTAGTACCTGCCCCAATAAATATATTTTGCTTTCTGGGAATTTACGAGCCATATAAATTATACTTTGAATTATCCGAGATTATCCCAAATAAATGTATTTAGCAAATGAGATTAGAATAAGTAGGCGGTAAACATAAATTAGTTGTTGTTTATTAGGGTACATAAGCACAAACCGAGTAGGTAATGACCCGGATGTTAATTAGGATAGGGTAATAAAAGTAGGTACCTGGAGACAAGGATAAAACTGAAAACATTTCAAGGCACGAACCAGAAGTCAATAAACAAAATAGTAGTTTCAATATTCGTTGTGAATTTTCATAAAACTCTTTTATTGACTAATTTCCTATGCTTCTCTCATTTATTTCGACAAATAGCACAGGTGCTGCCACCTTTGAACGCTAACTGAAACTAATTAATATCTCTACCAATTCCAACTAATAACTACAACTCTATATGGTCAACTTCTCCCTGGAGAGGATATGGGGGGCTAAGACAAACTACAACAACTAACGCAATGGAAAAACAGCGCCGGGCACATTGGCAGACTACTTCTGCTAGAAGCGGGGACCTACCTTTGCGCAAATATTTCTGTACTCTTGGTCCGTACACGAGGCGGACCGTTCCGGTAACTCTCTGCCGCGCCTCCTCAACTCCTGACTCACCTCAACCAGGTCCAGGATAGAAATCGGGTCCAGCCTGTGTCTGCCAATGAGCCCAACTAAATACTCGATGTAGTGCAGCCTACACACACACAAACAACAACACGTTAGCCAGTCTTGAGGTGTTCCGTATACTGTTCCTTTCCAAACAAAATTACACGATTAGTACTAGATTATTATGTTTATCCTCCAGGAAATAGTAATAATAAAAGTGACTTTATTGCATATATAGCAAATACAATGATAACGTTATATATTTTGAAAACTCGTTCTGTCTCCACAGAGCTTAGCCCGAGAACAACAAGGGCAAGTCAAGGTTTCCTAGCTAAGGCTAAGGAAGTGCAATGTAAGTCCGTAAATATTACAGTAATTTATGACTAAGGCTTCGTTAAAATCTAATAAAATAAGACTTTTTTTCCAAATTTTTGAGGAAAAACATTGCGAAACCTGAAGGAACAGTATACGCTTTTATATACCTGTCTCAGTCGTGATCGATACACTTCTCTTGGTGTTCCGAAACAGTTAGGCGGCAATTTTTTTGCTGCTCGCCTCACGACTGTCTCTAAATCGTCTGCGTTTAACATGTCTATCGTGTCGATATTACTCTTTCTGATTAGAGTGCACAAATATTCTATATAGTGCATCCTAAAATAGCGTCAAAAATTAATTGTATTTGAAAATAAATTGTTTACAGCGGGTGTTTTAATTAAACTCTGACTAAACCGGAGATTCTCGGATCAAATGTAAGAAAAAAATTACTACCGGCCTAGGTCCACAAATGCTTTGTTTTTGTGATACGGTAAGACGAGTTTTTATAATTTTTTGGTTATTTTGATGAAGGATTGGTAACAATGGCATTCACAGGCCGGTTAGGTCAACAGATTTGAAAACATTACAGTTTTACTTGAAATTAGCGAAACCAGAACCAGCATCGTCGCAACAGAAAACTTTGGGGTAGGCGTTTGAGGTTCCAAAAAGAAATATTGCCGTGTAAATTTTTTTGAATAGTACTTTGTACATTTTGTCGGTCCTCAAAAAACTGTTGAATGTACCAAATTTAAATGGTCATGCCATCCTGTATCTCAAAAACAAAGCATTTAATTTTTTGTCAGAGTTTTATTAATTGTAGAATTTTATTGACAGGGGATTAAAGATGAGAATTTAAAGATATTTAGAAGTCACGAAAAGTACTGATTACATTACATGTTCTTTAAGACGTCTCTATAGCAAATAGGCAACCAGCAATACATTTTTATAGATTTTATTACACAGTTTGCCTAAATATGAATCAATAACAGACTTTCCCCCATTCTAACGCAGATTTTCTATACAATGGAGTTAGTTTGAAACTGAAATTACTTTTTGTTGTAAAGAAATTTGTAATTTGCCACTCGTTCAAGAGTAAATTACAAATTTCTTTACACTGAAAAGTTATTTGAGTTTCAAACTAAGTCCATTTTATAGAAAATCTGCGTTAGAATGGAGGAAAGTCTGTTATTCGTACATTAATTCATATTTAGACAAACTGTGTAATAAAATCTATAAAAATGTATTGCTGGTTGACTATTTGCTATAGAGCCCTCTTAAATTGAGATATTTTTTTTAACCTGACACAAAACTCAATAAAGCCATATTTTTTTAATTAACAGGTCACTCTCTGCCAGTCCGAAAGTTTGAACGCCTAGGCACTGAGTGGAAGTACCTACACAGCAAGAATACTTTGCGGTAATTTGAGTTTTTAAGTTTTCAAATATAAAAAAATGTTATTACTTTTTTTGAGTTCTGTGTTGTATGTGAAAAAAATTAAGTATCTGTTTTTTAGGGAAATTACACTAAAAAGTTACTATAACACTACCTGCAGAGTCCAGCTTGTCCGGGATTGACCTCATTGCTGCATACCGTATCAATGAGGCCGTTAGGCGTTTCCCTTTGCAAAGGTATCAAACACTTAACCACAGCCGAAGCGTTTTCTTCTTTATCCCCCACCGTCTCGGTATCGAATGGAATTTTATGGTCCTACGTACGGAAAAAACTATTATTAGCATCAAACGTAAATTTTTCTTTTCTTTCATATAAAAACTTGCCTCCAACAATTTCTGCAGCTCCTGCGGCTCCTTGTCCCTCAAATAAAACAAACAGTTCCTGGGATGGTGCGCGTGCAGCCCCAGTTTGGCACAATACTGACTTATCCCGCACTTGGCCCCCATCATGAACGGCTTGCCGCAGCCGTAACAGAACTCGTGTTTGCACTGCGTGCAAGTGAAATGCATGCAACCGCCTTTTGCCAGGGAATATCGGAACTTGCACTTCGGACAATCCAAGCCGTTCTCGGCGAGGTGCTTTGCGACTGCCGTCGCCTGGTTCTCCGGGTCGTTGGCGTCTTTCCAGGCTGCGAACTGCTCGCAAGTTATGCCCTCGTGCTGTTTTTCCCACTGAAAATTACAATCGAAGAGTACATATTATGATTTTAACTGTTTTATGAAATTATATGAAAAAAATTAAAATATTATTTAAAATTATTACATGTTCTTAAGAAAACTTATTACTACTTTTTTAAAGCAGTGTGTTTAGTTTCTGAATCTTAGTGTCAACTACATAATATCAATGCAGCTGATGTGATATGACAATGGGGCACTAGGAGGGTAAAAAACAAACGACTAACGTGTTATACGTGGTAGCGCAAATGGCTCCATCTGTCGTGTTGACTCCCAACTGTGCCATTCAAATGGCTACAGCAGGAAGCGACCTGCTATATTGCAGGTACTTGTTGCACGACTGCCACCCACAGAGGGCAAAGACAATGTTTTAATTGTCAGTGTTGTGAGAAACAACTACTCCGAGGGCTTCAATACCCCTACTGGCATTGAATTATACTTGCAACACCTAGTGCAACAGCCAGGATCCAAATGGCTCCATGATGGAGCCATTTGCGCTCCCGTGCACAATGTATTTCCTTGCCATGATGATACAACGCAAAACAGCTGATTCGTTCGTCTGTTGTCTCACACACTGATGAGGACTAATAAGTCCGAAATCGGTCTGTGCCTGGTGGGTTAAACTGACGAACGACCCTGGCTGCCGGTAGAGGCATATAGCCCTCGGAGTAGTTGTTTCTCGCAACACTGACAATTAAAACGACTAACGTTATTTAGGTGAACCATATGCAGAATATTTTGTAGATAGACTTACCGGTCTCCGACAGCTAGCACACGTAACCGACTTACAGTCGGGACAAATCAGTCTTTTCTGTCTGGGATGTGCGATGAACCCCGAGGAACACTACGGAACAAACTTTAATAAACGTCATCCACAGCCGAGGTCTGAACTTACTTGTACACACCACTTAAAATGCGGGTCCTGCATCAAAGTCCGATCCCTCAACTTCCTCTGGAATAGCTCGTGGACGGTTTCGTCTAGGATACCTTTGAGCAGGATATCCAGGTTGCCGAAGTAATCCGAGATGTCGTCTTCGTTCAGGTTGCTGCTCGTCAGTTCCGGCTGTTTGCAGAAGGGGCAAGTGCAGTCCATTATGCTTCGATCGGTGATCTGAACGGTGAAGTAGTTCTTCGCGCACTCCTGGCAGCATCGGTGGGTGCACTTCAGCATGGAAATGATCTGGAAGCGTAAACGGTATTAATTATTATTTCTCAAATCAGTTGTATACACCTACCTGGTTCATGGCGTACTTCCCGGCGCACAATTCGCAGTCTTGCTGCAAAAACGCAATAGCAGCGTCTAGGGAATGACAATCCTTGACCGCCTCGAGGGCCTGCTCAGAGGAAAACTTCAGAGCCATCAAGCTAACTGCTAATTCTGCCTGCTGGTAGTTGGTGACTTGTCCTTCTGCTAGAAACCTTCTTGCTTGTCTCTGTGTAAAAAAATACTCAATTAACGTTAAATACGTCCAAGTTATCTCAACTTTCCCACTTCTGTCATCGCTTACAATATCTTACCTCCATTATTTCTATCTCGGTGGGTTCTTTTAGTTCGATTTTCAAATCGGTACTTAAAATTTCCATCTCATTTTCCTCGAACTCGTCCTCGATTAGTGCCTCTTCGCCTTCCTCGTCCTCAGGATCGGACAGATATTCTTCCGACTCACAAGTTTCTTCTATGCTATACTTATTGCTCTCCTTCAGGCTGGTCGTTAACTTGTTGACCCTAGCGCTGATCTGCGATAAGTTTATGTTTAAATCCCTGCTCATCTCCACGTTCCGTTTGTCGAATTCTTCGTAGTCTTCCGAAGCGGATTCGATCACTTCTTGGTATTCCTCTTCGAATTCATCGTAACTATCCTCATCTGTACTGGGATCGAGCAATTCTTCAACATTGCTCTCCGAAACAGACGAGTCACTGTCATTGTCAAGCGATTTGGTGTAGGACAACTGTTTGGAGCTTGTAGTAGAATCGAAGGAGCTCTTAGCGGTGGAAGACAGCTGAATTTTCTTGGTTTGAGTCAGATGTGAAGTTAAAGTTTTAACGATTTGTACAACACTGCTTGTTTCGTTGTCTATTTCGCCAGATTTACTGGGTTTTAGTATTGGGCTTGCAGAAGGGGCTCGTTCGGTTTCTACACTTTTTTGAGGTTCAGAGATCTCCTGTGACAATTCCGCTTCTGTTTGCTTTGGTTGGTCTACAACTTCCTTCGATTGGTCCAGAACTTCCTTCGGTTGATCCAGAACTTCCTTCTCTTGGTCTTTCCTCGGAGTTTTAACTACCTCTGGTTTAGACTTGTTTCTCGGCAGACTCGAAGTTTTCACGGGTATTTTGCTAGTAGACGAATATGTGTCAGGTGACTTTGGTTCGCTTTTGAACGATGATCGCTGCTGGGGCAAAGGTATTTTAGATGGCCGTTTGGCGACTGGAATTGTCGTTTGCTTGTTTTGTGCTATTTGTATCGTCGTGGAGACTTTCGGTGGGTCTTTGGCACCTTCAACGACAGGTGGAGATTCTGGTGATGATGAACTAGTAACCGTTTTATCGTCTACTTTGTCGGGTTGCTGTAATTTCTTTGGAGGTTCAGAATGTTCTTCCTTTATTTGCGAGTCTACATTTGTTTCTTCTGTAGTTGTCTTCAATTCAGTTTTTGTGGTTCCCTCACTGAGTTTATTTCTATACTTTGAGTACTTCTGGCTGTCACTTTTCTTAACATGACGTTTTCTCTGGATTTTTGTTGGACCTATGGGACTTTTAGCTTGAACAGGTTCCTTATTTTCTTGTTGTACTACTAGGCCGGTCGATTCTAATATCGACTTTTTGTTTTCAGTGTCTGTGTTTTCAGGTACTTCACTACTAGAACCTGTCGTGCTCGATTCTCTAAGTAAAGCTCGTTTCTCGGCACGTTTCCTGCTCTTTCGCAAACTCTTCTTTTGTTTGCGGGACATTGAATTTGAGGTATCGCTGTTTTCTTTGTTTTCAATTCGTTGGGACTTTGAAACTGTACTTTCGATTTTTGTAGAGGAATCTGATAAATTTATGTTCGATTCCGTGGATTTCGCCTCATTCCGTTCTCGTAAAGGTTGTGGGCCAGACATAGATGGCGATTCGATAGAGGTTAGCATCTCATTGTTTGTACCTCCATCTTCTTTCGATGTCGAATTATCGTTAGTGTTTGTACGGTCAGTGTTTAAACCAATTTCCTCAACTAATTGTGTTACTGATTCTCTGCAGTCATCGAATTTTTCAGTTTCTATTTGATCTGTGTTTTCTTCAATAACTATTGTTTCATAATTATTCCTATCATCGACAATATTTTGATCGATTTTTTCTTCATTTTTTACTTCGACCTCTGTGATCTCTAATTGCATCACTTCGTCATTGACGCTTTGATCGGTTTGCTCTTCGCTATTTGTCTGTGTATCTTTCACTGCTGATTCTAAAATTTGCTGATTCTCGGGGTTTATTTCGTTTTTTGCCACCTTTATTATTTGTTCTGTAGAATCATCATTAACATTTTCATGTTCTTGCACTCGTATTGATAAATCCTGATTTTCCTCAGCTGGTTCTATTTCTTGGATACTGATATTCTCTTCTTCTATTTCCGGTACATTTGAACTACTTTCGATGTGTATTACACCACTTCCATTTTCGCCACTCTCGTATTCTAGATGAACATTATTTTCATGTTTCTCACAAGTAACATCAGTATTTTGAAAATTTGATGATTCTTCGGTGATCACGAGACCACTTTTCTCGACTTGCGTTGCTTTAGTTTCTTTTTTGAGAGGTTGCAATACTATAGCAGCCGTACTTTCAATTACAACCTCATCTTTTGCTGTACTTTCCACAAAGGGCACTACTCTCGCTTCACTGCTGGCTCTTTTAGGTGCAGTGGTGTTGTCGTTAGTAGTGTGAGCTCCCGCAAGTGTTATATTCAAAGTACTGACACTGGTTTTCCTCTTCAACGGACTGGGTTGGGGTAAATCGTTCTTCTCTACAGCTGGGGGTGAATAGATTGGATCCTCGACGGCATCTACGAATTCGACGTTTTGTAACTCGTCGCTACTCTCGCTTTCAGACATCGACGGTGTGCGATTATCGCTTGCTATGAATGGGATTAGGTAAGTGTTATCCACGACTTGAATGACTGTGCTGCTTTTCTCCACGTATACTTTGTTTTCCGTCATTTTCACGACTTCGACTTTGTTGTTATCGTTTTTAACTACTATTTTGTCTTCGTTCTGACTATCGGTAATATTAGTAACGGCAAGGTTCTCACTAAAATTGTTAATATCCTCCAAGTTCTTTAATATTTCTTTTTCTATCAAATTAAGCGATTCTACTCTACTGTTATCTTCTACGATTTGTTGTGATTCTGTTTTAAAATTTTGTCGTTTTTTTAAATCCTCGCGATCACCATTAGTGGTATCGAAAGTGGTACTTACTTGAGGGGATTCGCTATCGATAGGGGCGCTGTTACTTACCGCTTTCTCTTCCTCTTTAACTATCTTAACATCGTTAACTACTTCTGTAAAAACGAGTCGGTTAGATTGTCAAATTTTTTGCGTAATTTTACTTACCTTCACCCCTAAAGCGTTCTTCGGCGGCCCCCTCATTACCTGCCTCGTTTTCAGTACCCACCGGCGGTCCCCAAATCCTCATTAAGAAAGGTTTCAACTGAGTTTTACTCAGTTCGTTGTACGCAGCTTCCAAGTCACCGTGATTCGCAGTCAAAACCGTAACGATGTCTTCCCGGTTAAAATCGCCACGAGCGGCCAGCTCCGCATACTGAAAAGCAATACTTGTGATGACCGCTGCTTTATTTTTGTTTTTTGGGACTCACCTTTCTTTGTCGTTGTTCGACGCACTCCTCCACGGCAGGCCACAGGTTGCCCTTGTGCTGCCGCAGGGATTCTCTGGCTTCTCTTTCAGAGACGGTCCCCACGATATTCATGGGACCTTCGCGACCCATTTGCGTCGCTAGTGTTTGAACGCTCGCTATAGTTGCGTCCCAATTTTCACGGAGCCAATCGATCGGGTTCATTTCTTTGCAGTGCAGAATTGCTGCCTGCACTTCGTCTGCTGAATACTTGTATTGCTCGGCTTCCTAAGAAAGCAACTGACTTAATAAAGGAGAATTTTTATAGTTTTGATGCAAAAATATTTAAAAATTGAAAAAATTCTGCATTTGATTTACTTTTGGAACAACAATAAGGACGTTTATGTTAATAAAAAATGTATCAACTAGTTTAAAAATGGGATTAAGAAAAGTTCTCACCCTTAACAGCTTTACGAGTTCCATACCGGAAGCCTTGAAGGTGTCGTGTCTCTGAAAACCGTTGTCCATAGGGGCCAGATACTCCCTGTCGGCGTGGAATGAGTCTGCTCTGCTGCGGTGACTTGGATGCTCGATATGGTCCATCTAAGAAAATTTGTTTATAATTGCGGTTCGACGATTTTTTTGTTGCAAGCTAGTTAGCACACAAATGGGTTAGTGAAACGGTGCAACGGGATGAAAAAATGTGGGCGACCAAACAAATTATCTCCAAATTCAAAGCCTTATAACGTTTAATTATTAGAGCACCCTGTAATATCCGAGATCGTGGCTTGGTCTTCGGTACAAGTCCGGCTTTCTGAGATCCACGGTGCTGTGCGACAACCGAGTGGAGTTTACCGGTGGCTTCCGTTCTCTACCGTAGTTTCTGTCATAGTACAGATCGTCTTCATATTCGTACGGTACCGGACTGTGTTCTCTGCTTCCCGGCAAGCTCTGAAAGAACAACGTAAAGTTTATTAACAGTCCAACGTTGTTATGAAATTTTCTAACCTGTGAATCACTCGTAAACGATTGTCTGCTGGAAGAGCGTTGTAAAGACCATTCCGAGCCTCTCCTCGGGGAAGACGGTGTACGCAGGGATTGGGAACGTTTTAATTTTTGACGACTGTTGCGGCTTGAGGATCTCGGAGTTCTTGGACTTTTGGGAGCCTTTTCTAGTGGCAGAACATCCTCATACGTCTGAAAATTAGGAAAAATTTGTTATTTGAATATTGTCTCCAAATTAGTCTATTATACAGGGTGGTTCATTTAAAATTTGTTTGTTTCATCTAGAAAATAGAAAGAGATATCTAAAATCTGTAAAAAGTGTTATAAGTTCTTATGATTGGCTTCAATTCTGGACATGATGAAAATTCTCTTTAAAGCAGTATTATAGCTAACACAAAAAGCAGTAATTTTCCAGAAATTGTTTATAAAAAATGTAATTTTAAGTAGGTGTAAGGTTTTTAGGGGTAATAGTACATGATCCCTAGAATACTAATATGAAATAATATTTTTTTAATGAAATGGTCAAGTTATAAAATCATTTTGCAATCAACACTTGAATTCTGGTTTATGCCATCAGTGAGCAACTGCAAAACTCGATTGCATGAGCGGGCTTATTAGTGTTGCCCATTTCTTAACTATTTAAACCAATTGTATGAAACTAACAAAGCGACAAAGAACGAAACTGTGACACATGCTACCATATTTATTTATGTTAATGCAATGAAAAAATTAAATATTAATTAATATTAGTTTAAAGAACTTAATTTTACTCTTTTATAGTGAATTTAATAAAAAAACAATAATAATACTAATCTGATACATTTGAAGAATGATTTAAAGACATTTCAAGTTCTTAATAAAAAGTATTTACTACATATTATCTTTTTAAAGCACTGTGTTTAGTTTGTGAATTTATGCCAGTGAGCTGTGACAATGACCTATTTTAGATGAACTACATAGTATCAATCCATCTGACGTGACATGATAACCGGGTCGTACTAGGCAGGCAAGAAAGAAATTGGTTAACGTTAATTCGACAAACGAAAATGGCTGAATATACAGTTTCATTTTATTACATATGTAATATGGTAGGCAATTTTGTGACTTTCTGTCTTGTATAGTGCAGCGTTGTTTTTTATTAACTTTTATTTTACAATAAAATTTAATGATATTTAGTAAAATGTCTGGTATAGTGTAAATGTATAATAAGACAATTGTTTGACTGTTTAGTGATGGTACGGTGTGTTTGTGTATCTTCATTGTTAAATTTCTGAGTGATATGAAAAAAAATCAAGAAAAAAGAGATTTGACAACAATGTATTCACTAGCAGCTAGCGCGCATGGTTGTTTGAAGTTACATCATTTATACTCTGAACTCAAAATCATTTAGGTGCATTACTGCAACATTGTTTTTTAAAAACCAACATATCTTTTGTTTCTCAGATATCGAGCTGGGCAGTTTTAAAAGCAACACCCTGTAGATTGAAAAATAATTTTTATTCTATTTTTTTGAAATTGTTACCCTAAGAAAGAGATCACTTACTTGCGTAGAAATACTTTGTGGCGGCGGAGAAGTCCCAGTTGACGTAGTAACCATCCTCTTGTCCGAGCTGTGTTTACCGTCACCATTTTTACCGAATTCACCGTACTCATGAACAACCGACTCACTGATTTCCTCACTTTTCATCTCCCTAGGCGGCGAGGGACCACATCCCGACGACACTTTTACGTTCTGTCGCACTTCACTGGCACCACCACCGGTCGACACTACCGCACTTTCCAACACATTTTCCAGGGACAAATTCGTGGATTCCGACTCTACGATATCGTTTTGTCTATCTTCCGTCTCGCTCTCATGGCGGCGGGGCAAAGAGTCTGCTTTTCCTGTAACAACAGGAAAAGGGTTACAAGCTGACATCTACACACAACCACAAACAAATCTTAGGAGTTAGTAAGTAATGGGCACACTATATATGAAAAACGGGACGGCACAGGGGTAGCGTTTAATAAGTTTTACTTATTTTTTTTGGAAGGAAGCAAACTTGGTCCCGGGCCAAAAAGAGATCTTTCTACTGGTCCTACCTTTCTTGGCGTCGATGGGGGCGGAGGGTTTGCTCTCGGCGGGCTTAGCCTCCGGTATTTTTAACTTCCCCATTTTATTCAGCACGGATTCAGTCTCGCTGTAATCCTTGCTGTACTCGTCGCTGCCGCTCCTCAGTATTTTGTCTCTCGATTTTGATTTGGAGACCGGGAGGTTCTTCGGAGACAAAGCGTGGTTTTTCTTAGGCAGTGTCTTCATCTCGTCCGCCGCTTTGACTATCTTCACGTCGGAAGAAGTGGGGGTTTTGCAGCAAACTAAACACACTCTCGTGCCGGCTTCATTGACAAAAGTGCAATGCTCGCACTCCCAAGAAGCGTTCGGTACTTCAGAAGGGATTTCCTTCGCGGAAACGTTGTTGTCGTAATCCGATTCGCCCTCTTCCTTGATCACGTCGCTTTCCTTCTGACTGTCGGAGTGTTCGTCGTCCGTTTCACTTGAGGACGCTTGGATGCTGTGACGACTTCTAGCAATCGAACCTCGTTCGATGCGGTCGATCGTGTTACGCCTCATTACTTCCCTTGGCATAGAAGAGGCGTCTCGCAAAGGTCTCTCTCTTACTATAAATCTGCTCCCCAAGGACTTCCTTTCACCTCTGTCGTTGTGACTGAGTGTGGACCTTCTGTCATCTATGTCGTCTTCGTCGTCGGTATCTTCAACTTCTCTGTATTTCTTCCGGCTCCTCCTGCTAAGGGTTGATTTTCGAGATTTGACGCTGTGAGTTGGTGACGCGGGTCTTGAATGTGTGCAAGAACGAGCGTCGTGGTGCATGTGGCCCATAGGTACCGGGTATGGGTACATGGCAGATGGAGGAGGGCCGTGCCAGGTGCCCATCCACATAGGGTTCATCGGGTAACCACCCGGGCCAACGTTTAGACTTAGGTTACTGCCGCGTTGATCTTCACAACCACATTGATTCATCCAAGCTCCTTGGCAACAAGGAGGAAGATAGTTCAACTGAGCCATGGAATGAGCCTGATAAAATAAAAATGTAATGGATTCAGATCAGGTAAGCAAAGTGTCCATCCAAATTGTTTGTGATTTATTTACCTGCTGCATGGGAACAAGGTTGTGATGGTGGTGGTGAGCCATGGGATTGTTCAAGTCGAAAACAGAGGTGCTATGGGGAAGCCCCCTTCCTGGAGGTGGACAGGAAGTATTACTAAGTTTCCTTTGTCTGCCAGCATCTGATCCGGAAATACTCCCCGATCGAAATCTGGAATTCCACTGTTCCTGTTCCCAGTCTGGATAGCCGCTATCTCTGCTTAAAGACTACAAGAGAATCAAGTTAAACTTGAATTTCACAACTTTGGGAATGGTACCTGGTCAAAGTCGGAAACAGTAGACGGTAGGTTAGGCGTAGTGCCTCGCATGGCTAACTGATGTTGTCTGTAACGTTGCTGGAGCGACGGGCTAGGGCTGGGAACCAGCAGCTGTCTGTTGAAATCGTCGGAAAACGAGGAACTTCTCGAGAAATCACGAGATGCTAAACAAATAAAACATTGGGTATAAATAAAACTGTGAACAAACGAGTAGAAAGTCATGACTACTTACACCCGTGAGGGGGGGATCCTGGTGTTGGCGGTAACGGACGGTTGCCCATCAGCCCCTTCTTCAAACTAGACATCTTGTCTCTTAAGCTAAACCCTGCGTTGTCTCTTCTAGGCAAAGTCGACGACATTACCTACAAAGCAACCTATATTATCGCTCCACGTTTCCAAAGGTATGCAGCCATTACCTTTTTAGTAGGTAGTAGGAATATTAAAAAGCTCGCTATCATTTTAGAGCAAAAAAATATAGAAAAGTATGTATAGAGTACTACACAGCAATTTAAAATCACATCCTTTACATTTGAAAAAAGCTATTTCGTGCTACCTCGAGGTACCACACTGAGGCCACGACAGCTTTTCGTTCTTATATAAATTTGTCAACTGTAGTATTTAATTAATTAATTCTACTAAAATTAATGGTTTTTTAAGAGAATATGGTCAATAAGGCTTCAGATTCAGAGACAAAATCGTAATAAAAAAAATTTATTCCCATCATCTTTGTACACTCATATAGCATGGAATTAGTACAGTAAGCAATAAAATAGTTAGCTAGGGCAACAGAACTGGTTGTTTACCTGATTGTGTCTACTTGGAGTGGGACTGGGGCATGGGGACGGTCCGGTGGATCCCGAACGGCGGTGTCTTCGAGGGGGTGGCACAGGGGCTGAAGGGGGCTCTCCCTTGGGTGGCAGTGGTGGACGGATTGTTTGCTCCATTCTCTGCCACAGGAAAAAAGGTCTTTTAGTCACACGGGTAGAGAAGAAAATAGAGAAACGATCCACAGGTAAGACTTTTATATTTTTGAGGGTCAAACACTTTAAATGCAAAGTCGTCAAAAATTTTTTTGTGATTGAAAAATCTTTTAAAACAATAGCGGTAGCAAAGTTGACTTACTCTTCGAATATGAGTTTGCCTCTTGGGATGTCTATGGTACATATCGTCGCAGGATAGGCAAAAAATTTGGTTGCACTCTTCACAATGTACGGAAGGCGCTGAAGATCCACATAGTTGACAATGTTTTCCATCTCGCAGTGCTACAAGCAAGAAATTATATTTAGTCGCAAGTGGTTGAGCAATATTTTTAAAAGCTCTTACCACTTCCATTTTTTGTTGGTAAAGGAGGGGCGTTTGTATACTGTCCAAATTCAATTACTTCATAGTCAGGCTCCTGATGAGAACCGATGTTTTTGTGATTAGACTGTTTATTTTTCTCTTCCTTTGGTACGGGTGGAGGGGGAATGCCACTTATTCCAGATTTGTTCTGTAAACATAATTTGTGGTATTTTTAATATATGACTAAACATTCTGGAAGATGGCAACAGTTTTATATCTTATCAGATATAAATATGAAGTGGCAAATTTCAATATAGTGGTTCAGCATTGTTTAGAAAAAATCAGTTTTAATTGAGTATATGTAATAAATAATAGAATCGTTGTAAAAAGGGGAAAGAAAAGCCATATTGTTTACAGTACCTAGTTGAATATACCTAACATTTTTTTTAATGTGGGAAATGCTGTCTAATGCCGCATTATCTGTAAATATACCTACGACCTTTTCTCCGTTTACGATTGTGTAAATATGTGAAACTGGAAATTGCTATTGTACGTTATTATTTTTTAACACAAAGCAAAAGGTCGCGAATATAATGTCAATGACCCCCCTTGAATATATAAATTTATGATGGTAGGGTAGGGAGTAGGGACTAACCTCTTTGATATTACAAAAATTTATGAAAGCGTTCTACTAGTAATTTTCAGCCAGTTAATTGAATAAATATGATTATTAACAGGTATTTTCTTTGCGTAACTACCTACCTACTTTAGCTTTTCGCTTTCTAAAATATAAAAGAGAATACCTATGCAAAAACTGTGAAAGTCAAACAGATAATTTATTTTTGCATCTAAAACTATTTTAATACTGAAATATTTTTAAAAATATCCAGGCAAATAATAAATTCGATAAAATTATGACAAGGTGACTGTGCCAGGAAGTGAATTAAAAATAGATTTTAAACTGATCGTTCGCGGTTTATTTTAAATATAGATCCATAGTAACTTATTCCTTAGGCGGTTGCCTTCCCTGAGTTGGTATTTTTTATGTTGTGAGGTGTTTAATATGGCGCACAAGTTGACAAAGCTTTGACAGTTTACATTGATGAAATTTCGTTAAAATTTATTATTTCTTTTACATGACAATGAATACGTTACCAAATTTTTGTCGAGTATGTCTGAAGTATGATAAAAACCTAATAGATTTGGCCCACATTGAGAATGAACCGAGTGAAACTTTGATGAGCAAGTTGCAACTTTGTGTATCTGAAGTGGTGGGTATTTTTTTGTATTTGTTTGGATTAGAATTTAATATTTACGTCGGTTTTAGGAATGGACCGTTTTCAAACCCTTATTGTGTCACCCATGCATCAAGAGATTGAATATAGCATACAGTTTTAAAAAACAATGTGTCCAATCTGCAGGTGTATTAAAAAACTATGTGGAATTAGTGAAAGAATCTCAAAAGAAAAACGAATCTCAAAGTGCAGTTAAAGGTGAAAACGCAATTCCCACAACAGGAGGTGCATATATGCTTCTCCCAAACCAAAAGTATGTTAAAATTTTAGTTGGTTCACAAAATCAGGGTACTAATACTTTTCAAAACGTATTTCTAAATTTGATACCTGCAACTACACTTAATTCTGTAACACCCTCAGACAGCTCGAACACTTCAAAAAGCAAAGATACCAACCAAAATGTATTTTTAAATCTAAACAATACTTTTCAAAAATTTATTCCTTTAGCTCCTCCTGTTGACCCTCCTAAAAAAACAGATACCCCAAAGCCTTTAAATGTGAACGTTAATCAGTTACTGACGGAAAGCAAAAGTGAAGAATTGAGTGTGGAAATTGACCCCACAGTTTTTGGATTGGAAGAGGAAGAAGACAGCAACGAGGAAGAGGAAAATAACGATTATGACGAGGTTATTTCCCAGGCAAAAATCACGTTGAAAGATTTGAAGTCCAACGGCGAGAGGATTCAGAATGGAAAGGACGACCACAAATACTATGTTCCTATACTCCCCAAACATCAGCAGGATGATTTTCTCACGTCGGGCCAGCACTTCTTATTCAGTTCTTCGGAAAACACTGGCGCATTTGTTTGTGAATCATGCCAAAAACCGTTTACGTCTAAAAAACTACTTAAATCGCACATAAAAGACTTTCATTTGGGCAAAATGCCTTTTAAATGTGAATACTGTTACATGGAGTTCGCCACAAGATCCGAGTACGACTTCTGCGTCAAGACCCACAAGATAGATTCCGATGCCTTAAATAAATCCCTCACGTTACGCGACTTTGCTAATACCTCCAACAATTCCCAGAACCTGAGCATCGGGAACTTGTCGCAATCCGAGGTAGAAGCCAATGTGTCTGTTTCAGAAAACGGGGAGTACATATGCGACGTTTGCCACAGGCCGTTCAACAGCTCCACCGGTTTACTCCGACACAAAGTACGTAAGCACAACCAGAAGAATAAGAAGAAATACTTCATAAAGGGCATGAAGAACGCAAAATGCGATATATGCAACCGAGAATTCTCAACGCAGTCGTACATGCAGCTGCATAGGAAGCTGCACTTGAGGGACGACATCGGCTATAAGTACAAAGTCTTTGGGAAGAGCAAGTACGGCGACACCGAGACCTTGATAAAGGAAGAAAAAGGAAAGGAAGAGAACACTCAGAAGAAGAGCGAAGACGAAAAGGAGGATTCAGATGTTAAACCAGACATCGAACAGAACGGAGAGCGGATAAAGAACGAAGAGGACAGCAATTCCGAAGACGCCGATCATAAAGACGAGAAACCAGATGAAAGTGACGCCCAGAGTGTCAGCGTCAAGATGGAAGTCGAGGAAAATTCTGATCACGAGGAAGAGGACTCGAACAACCCCGAGATAGAGGAGAACTCCAGCCAGAATTCGAGTCAGGGGGAGAACCATGACACGGACGAGCCGATGAGCGAAGAGAATTAGTCTGCAAGGGGGATAGACTTATAGGTGAGACTATTAGATCAGCACTATGCTAGGTATCTTTTCTTTCTGTGGAGTGTACTGGATTCGCGATACAAGGTGACCCAAAAATTTACCAAAGTTCCGTGAGTTCTCGTGTGACTGCGGAAGTATATTTTTAGAAGCGAAAACGGGGAAACTACGGGTCCGCAGTCCAAACGTTCTTTGTGGTTTGTTTAATTTGGATCGGTTCAGATACCGTTTTCTCACAAATAGCTTGGCGGGTGGATAATAGTAATACCGCGTTATTTGTCTTTTTTATCAGCCTCTTAAAAATGTAAATATTGTAAAGCATGTTTTTAAACGATACTAACGCGGAAAATGTTATGGTTAATGTTGGTACCAATTTTGATACTGAATTAAGTAAGAGGCAGAGAAATTTCACCACTGGGAGGTATTTGGGATTTTTTTTTCGTAAATTTAACTCTGAACTTTGTTTTTTGTATGTTTCCCTGATTGTAGTTTTAAAGAAAAAGTTTTTATAGTGTAGGTATGCATTTTGCCCCAAATACGCCCTGCCTTAGAGTGACAGGTGACATTTTTCACACCTTGTATAGCGATTTCTCCCCGTAGTTGTAAATATCAGTTTGACAAATCATCGCATCCAGTTATTGGTTTAGCAGTCTTATTTAAATGTAAGTGCGATCCGCGCACGTTATTGAGAACACGGAGTGCGGTGTAAGGGTTGATATTTATTTTTTCTTCCCTGTATTTATTCCAAGAAAAAATGATATTCGTATTTCATTTTGTACTGAACTCCATTGCACATTTTGAGTATGTAGATTTATTTAGGCCACTTCCTCATTGTTTTTCTCTAAGGTAAGCTTATTTTATCGTATGATTAAGGTTTTATATACATACATACATTATAGTTTTTAAGACAGATCCCCATTACATGTTTTGTATATATTTTACTTTTCGCTTGTCTCTTCTCGAGGTGTCAACTAAACAGTTAGAAATAAGCAGGAAATGTGTACAGGCTGTCCCGGAAAGCGTTTCGTTACCTTAACGCAAGTCCCGTTTATTTTTCCGCTTCTTTTGTGTCCTTGAATTTTATCTCGGTACTTGGAAACAGCCTAAAAATGCATGCAGCCTGTGTACATCGTCATATTTGTATGTTTTTCTATATATTTAGATAACAAGTATTTACACTGATATCAGGATATTTTTTTTTAAGTGAATGGATGGTTTGCCGTGTATTTATTATTGCCTATTATGAAATTTCTCAAATATACTGTTAATAGATCGAATATTTTTTTATGTGGCAATATTACAAGGTAGTGGTAAACAAATTGTATACCATTTTTATAACAAAATAGTATCGTAATTACTTTGTTTTTCTGTAAGAGACGTTTAGTTTATTGCTTTGATGACTGGCTTTTTAGGTTTTTGTTTACAAATACACCATTTTCTACTTTTTATAATGTAAAAGCAGATTTTTATATTTAATAATTAAATAATATTAAGACAGTTACTATTCACTACTTTTTAATGTTGTTTAAGTTTCCAAACAGCAACTTTTACTCGTAAACTAAAATTACCTGTTCAGTAGTATTGATACGTCTTTCCAATTGTGTTGAACAATAGGTGGGGATTGTCATATGTTCACTTTGAAGGAATATACCCAGTTATTGAAGCTACCGCCAAACGGTGCCCTCGATTTTAAGAATGCAGATATTTTTCATCGTAAAATGAGTAACGGACATGATTTCATCACCAAATTTCTTAATGAATCATATCCCGTAATTAATGCAACAAAATTTGGTCATAGAAACTTAAGACAAATTTAGGCGACCCATATTTTTTCTTTTTACCAAGTGGCCTTCTCGTTCGAAGTTACGACAATCACTAAATTTGGTGTACAGGGGTTTTATGACGTGGAATCTGATGGGGCACCCTCTTAAGACACTTTTTCGTGGGCCCCCTTGTGTTTGGAACCAAAAAAAATTGGTCGCAAATTTGATTTTCTTAAAAATTATTAGTTAGCTAGAAACCCATTGAATTTAGAAACTTTTTTGTCCCTCGATATTTTTTTCCTAAAACGCAATGTTTTTGAGGAAAATGGCGGATCACGATATACATTCAATCACATTTTGACATTTTTCTTGAAAACTTGCATTTTACGAAAAAAAGTATCAAGAGACAAAATACTTTCTAAATTTAATGGCTTTCTAGTGCACTAATAATTTTTAAGAAATTTAAATATGCGACCAAATTTTTTTTGGCTCCAAAGACAAGGGCGCCCACAAAAAATTGTCTTAAGGGGGTTCCCCGCCAAAAAGCGTAGCACCATCAGATTCCACATGTCATAAAACTCATATGTACCAAATTTAGTGATTCTCGTACAACAAAGTTCTGAGATATAGAAAAAAGATTATTCTTAGGGGCGGATTTCAGGGGGCTGTAACTCCGAAAGAGAGAGCCACTTAACAAAAATAAAAAATACGGGTCTTCCAAATTTGTCTTGAGAATCTGTGACTAAATTTTGTTGCATTAATTTTGGGACACCCTGTATTGAAAATTCAAAGAAAAATTTGTTTCTAAATATGTAATTTACATATATTTTGTTTCTATATTTTTATACAGCTATTTGGATACCCTCTGTATAGGTTGTGGAACATGTACCAATGTGCTATTGATATACAAGGTCATTAAAACATATGCAAGAATCAAAATATCGGATTAATTCAATAAATCAAACATAACTTTGATAAATTTTGGCAAGTTTATAGAAAATTGATAAACTAGAAAAAAATAAAATCAAAATACACACTTTTTTTAAATGGGAATAAATTTCAAATTTTTTCATGGCTTCAACATTTCGTGTCAAAATTAGCTCCTATTTTGAAACTGATAGTCATTTTTAGATATGTGAGGTGGTTTTGTAACTGGGTATGTCCTTTTTCGAGCTAAGCTATCATTTAGTGTATTGGTTTTCATTTTATGTATATTAACCCGACTGATATAGTATGACAGACTTAAGTGATTAATATTAGTGTTGTTATCTGACTCATTTTCAATGCTTTCCTCCTTGTTTGCATGGGTAAGCCCTTAACGTATTTGCACGTTATCGAAATAGTATTAAACAGAAGTAATTTATTTAAGTGTAATTTATAAGGTGAACGTGCTGTCCTGCTTGTTTCGACAGAACTAAACAAAAGAAATAGTTTAATTAAGTAAATATCAGATTTGATTTTTGTACTGATTAAATATAAATATTGTTTTTTTTTGTATAAAGGAAACCAAATATTGTTAAAATTAGTTAAAACGAGATATAATATTTTAAGCATGAAGTAATATTTAATAGCTTTAAAAATTCCGAATAAATTTTATAATGAAGCGATGGTGAAATTTACTTACCACCCACTGCGGCATGTTCCTTGCTAGCCTGAGACGAGTAGAGGGGTTCGATATGGCCATAGGCCTCCATTTGTTCTCGTTTTTATTCTGTAAAATTTGGTAGATATATAAGTCACTACTTTTTTATTTTATTTATATCTTATAATTTGTATTTTATATTGTATTCACAATAAATATTTTTTGAAAAAATACCCTCTTTCATTGCAGCTCCCACAGGGTTACTCTAAATATTTAGCATTTTAATCAAGAATAATCTTTTCCCGATTGTTTTTTTTACTTGGAACAAAATTTAAAAAATCTGGAATATATTTATTTAAATTGTTTAGAAACCCATGTTTATTTTACATTTTCTATGAACTTCACATTTGGTTTTTAATAGTTTTAATTTTGTGTATTTCTTTTTTTGTGTGTTGCCAAATTTCCAGGGGTGATTATTTGAGTGATTCTAAGAAGAAAGGTTTATATAAATATAGGTCCGGTAATGCATCGTTTTCAAGATACAGTATGTCAAACTTTAAAAAAAAAATCGTTGTTTCGTGAAAATCTTAATCCTTTAGTCGATTTTGTTGAAATTTGGTAGTGTTATTTATGGTTGAAAGGGGCTAACTAGAATAAAATTGTGTCCCGTGGCGTTCTAGGGCACCATCAATATTTTTACAAAAAAATATGTACGCCACTGACTTTTTAAAACTGATAATTTTTTCGCATTAAACAACTAAAAATACAACTTTTTTGTCTCTTGTCTTTTCTTGTATCTTGCTTCCATTTTGGAGAAAAAAATAAAAACAAAAAAAACATTTTTTAATAATTAATAAAGCAAAAATTTTTTTTAGTTAGCATTAATTTGTATAACAATTTCTAAGACTAGAATAGTCTATTGATATCGAAAAAAATAATAGATTCACCCTAGTTTCTGATAGTTTGGTAGTTTTAATTTTTTATTATGTTGTCTCTGGGATATGCAATAAAGTGACTTTTATTTTTTTTCCGAAAAGGAAGCGACATACGAAAAAATATCAAGAGACAAAAAAGTTGTATTTTTAGTTGCTTAATGCGAAAAATATAAAAATTTTAAAGTCAGTGGCGCATATTTTTTTTTGTCAAAATTTTGGTTAAGGTACCCCTCGGGACGCCACTGGACTTAATAATTTTAATCTAGTTGGTACTAAATTAGGACCCTTCTACCATAAATAACTGGTCAAATTTCAAATCAGCTAAGGTATTATTAAATTTTTACGAAAACACGATTTTTTAAAAAAGTTTGACACTCATCTTGAAAACGAGCTTTGCCGAATGACTTATATTTATACGTTTGTTTTGGTCTTAGATACACTCATTGAAGTTTGGCCATGTACTTAAATAACACCCTGTATAGTGGTTGTCACGATTGTGTTCCAATGAGGAAACACATTTTTATTTGAAAATTTATGAGAAATGGCATTCTTTACAAAATTCTCTAATTAAAAATATTACTATTTTCTTGATTTTGTACATAGGGTGATATTTATTTTTAATTAAGAAATGACCCCAAGCTAAATTCAATGCAATGGCTCGAAATATCAAAAAGTATCACTAAGAGAATTAATAGTATGTACCCCTACTTTCTATTGTTTTGTAAAAAGAAATAATTAATCAAGTCATTTAGGTAACTTAAACACTTACAATTCTCACAGTTATATTAGAAACTGCTCTTCAAATGGCAATTAATAAAAATCCATTGAATTCAGATCAGGGCTTCTAGGAGGCCATAAAATTTTACTGATTTTGTTCCATTATTACAGATGCGTTAGTTTAAATCTATTCTAAATTATAACATTAGACATTATATAGTTTTCTTGGTATTTCTTACAGTGTGTTGGAATTTCGACAAACACCCAGAATCCTAATTTTATAATACCAAGTAGGATTTCAGAATAATTCATCCATAATTCAATAACGGAACAATCAAATGCAATTAAATTTTACGACCTACCAGAAGTCCCGATCTAAGTCCAATGGGTTTTAATTAATTATCATTTGTTAGCCAGTTTATGGGTTTATTATTTACATCGTAGGTAAGTGTATTTTATTTTTTACAAAAAAAAATGAAATTTTACATTTATGGTCTTCTTTCCTAATGATATCTCTTGTGACATTATTCTTCCATATTTCAAAAAATTGTTCAAAAAATTTAACACTGAAGAAACTAAAAAAGTAGTAATATTTTTAGTAGTTTGAGTACAAATGTTTATAAAGGATGACATTTTCCCACAAATTTACAAATAAAAAGTATATCTTGAGGAGACACACTGTATGTAGGTAATTTTGTTCAATAGAAACCGTAAACACTTTTTGAAATCTTATTTACCCATTAATATTTGACATAAAAGTAATTAGATCAAACAGATCTTCAAAATGCATACTGTCCAAAGCTTCCTGCAATAATTTTCATTTTACACTTGCACCATCTTCATATTTCAATATTTATGGAACTTCCGCATACATATATTTCTAAAGGCACATAATAGTTAAATATAGCGCATTACAAATCTTTCTCTTCATTGCAACTGTAAAGTATAGAAGTATTCCGATATTAGTTTAAAAAAGTGATGGAAATTGCATCTAATTTTTGTCACAGAATCTAGTGGTTATTTTCCGCAATAGGCAACATCTTTAATCTAAACATCTAGCCACAAAAATCAAATTAAACCAATTAAACTGATGCATTGATTAAACATAAATAAAATATTTCGTAGCTGCAATCTTCAAGAAAAATAAGTATTGGGATATGACCTCTAAAAGTGATTTTACGTCGTTTTATTCAAATTTATACTAGGTAGGTAGATGAGATCTATTTATACTTGAATAAGATTATCTATAAAATAAATATAACTGCGAAATCTGTAATTATAAAAAAAAACGAAATAAGATTTTGGACTACGTAAAGGAAAATTGCTGTAGAAAATATAAGAAAATAAATTGTTTTGTTTTTACTGGCCGGACATTGTTTTTTCAACTGCCAAGTAAGTTTAATTGTCAATTAAATCTGTCTGTCACTTTCTAAATCATGTTTTTTATGACACAGATGATTTAATTTGAAAATACATTTATTAGGCAAAAAACCGGGTTACATATGTTATTATTTGACTATTTTGATTATTAACATTATTAACAGTTGACACTACAGTGACAACAAAACTTTACAAACGTGTGTTAATATTTAGAAATTGTATTTATTAGCATTTTACATGTTGCAATAAATTGACCAATTTATTGTTTAAATTTAAAGACTACTATAATTTGTAGAGCGAAAAAAAATTAGTCATGAGAACAGGAAGCTGCAGTAGATTTATTTATAACTTTGACCTGAGTTTTTTAGTTTATGAGTTTTTTATGAGTTTGACATTTGTGTGCCATGTCAGTAGCGGCACTAAGAAATTTAGAAGTAATTGTACCAACTGTGTAATCGTGTAAATGAATGTTAGGTACATGTGAAAGATAGATCTAACATATGTCTTTTATTAAAAGGCAAACTGCAACAAATTTTGAAACAGATCGTAATACATCTACGGAAGCAATATTTGCGTACTTAAAATACTGATATAGATCATTCGCAGTATTTCCTTCGCGAAAGCAACTGTAAAAATATACGTAGTTATGCAAGATGTGGATTATATTTTTGTTGTCATAAGTTAATAAAATACTTTGTAGCTTCACCTTCAGCACCACTATTTGAAAAGACTGATTGATGAAAGAAAGAAGTTATTCTGCAATTAAGATGATTAATATTTCATTAAGTTAAATAATAAATAATGATTAAATAACATGGTGGTCAAAAATGTCTTTTAGTCGCGACGCTGGATCAAATACAGTATTGAAAATTAATGTGTGAGTCACCTTATTGTATTCTGAACGCAACCAACAGTTTTTATCAAAATACTGTACAACCTGATTAGTGCACAAATCTCTTCAACTTCCGGATTTCCATGTATCTATCTATCTGTTGACATTTCTCTCTATCTATTTGACATTCTGTGATACATATAACTACGATTGAATTTGAAAGTTATACATTTAACAGTAGGAAATTATTGTATCGGATGATGAGATATTTTTTAATATACACTTCGGACCCTCCCGAACAGCCGCCTTACTTGCGCACCGAAGTGCAGTGATGCCAAATCGTGTGAATTTTCCCATATTCCAGGGAAATAAGTTTAATTTACAGTTAATTAGCAAAAAAGGGTCGCATTGGTATTCTATGATATATGTACAAATATTTTAAATTCCGTTTACAATCTAAAAATGTTAACTGCAAAAATTTTGAGGTACTACTTATTACCAGTTATAAAAAAAAATTAAATTTGATGTATTGTGTTAAAAATTGGTAAACGCAAAACAGGTTTGATATAAAAAATATAATTCCGGCATATTTATTTTTCGCGCATAATGAAGTTACCCAGTCAATCCATTCGAGGAAGCGCAGCTTAAAAACAGTTCGAATACGAAAAACTAATTAAGCGTAGTCAGTCTTTCGTCACAGGAAGGCTACCGTAGAAATTGGTGAGAAGGTAGGTGTCCAGATATGCCACGGCCAACACTTATACGTTAAATAAATATCGCCTAATTATTTATAAACGCGAGAGAATCAAGCTATTTTAGAATATTAACGTACTAGACTATCGCCATTTCCATCGTTTCATCTGAGGAGAGTGCCAAGGTGCCAACAGACAGAAATTAGAGCAGCAATTTTTTTGTTGACCGTTGATTTTTGTGTAGCCAAACATTTTCCGGTGCTGAAATCAGAGGCGTATATAAAGGGGGGTTACGGGGCCTGAATACTGGATACCCCTACTTTTTTGGCTCTTCTAATATGTGAAATTACACATAATAAGGCAATTTGCGTGAATTTTTTTTTATAGAACCACATAAATTTGTAGTCTATAACCGACAACAACAAACAGGGTGGTAAATTAATTTTAGATGTTTCCCACTAAACACGAAACGTAAATGAAACGTTGCAAATGAGATGTTTTACTAAACATTTGAAACATTAACTAGAAACGTTTCTGTTTCATTACAGAAATGTAGCACTTGAAAACTTATTT